CAGGGCCTACTTGAGGGTGGAGGGCAAAAGAAGGGTGAGGATGGAAAAACTACCTATTGAGTACTATGCCTACTACCTGGATGGCAAAATAATCCTTACATCAAACCCCCACAACATGGAGTTTATCTATATAACAAACCTGCACTTATACCCTTGAACCTAAAATAAAAGTTAAAAAGAAACCTCTGCTTGCATCACATCTGCTAACTTCAGTTAGCCAAAGCAAGTCACATGGGCAAGCCCAATGTGAAATAGGTGGGGAAATGCTACATATACTCTGCTCATTCTGATAAAACATATTTCCAAGTCACTTGACAAATGCTTTGTAATTCTATCACAGGGAGAGAAGGAAGAATTGGGAATACTTCAATTACCACATCCATAATTCTATTTGCGACTTCCCTTTACTCTTCAGTTCTCATTCAGTAACTCGAAGAATCATAAAAAGTTGGAGTTAATCTAGTATGATCCTTTCCTTTTACATGCAAGTTATCTGGGGCCCAGAGAGATTATGAGACTTGCCTAAGATCACACAGTCAACTCAGAGCTCTACCACATTGAACCAAATGGTTGTAACTCTAACTTTCCTCTCTATCATCTGCCTCAAAACCCCAACTCCACAGGGAATTACAGGAGTCTAATTCATGAGGTGAATATATGAGTTAGGCCCTGAACTCCTGTCTCCAGAGGTAAAAGCCTAGATTCACTGTGGATATGAAGGGTTTTAGCAGTGCACTGTGAAGAGAGTATAAATTCTAGGTTCTGACTTGGAGAAATTGGTTTTTCACAAAGTGACTGGTGTGTGTGTAGGGAGGACAAATTTCTAATGAGAATATTTATAGACTCTAGTTGTTATTTAAAAGTAGGTAATATTTCCAGAAGGAAATGTTTAGTTTGCTTCCCAGTTGCTTTCCATTGTCTCCAGCTTCATCTGACAAAGAAGCAAATGTAAGGAAGGGCAAGGGGTGGGTAGGTGGAACAACAATGGAAAACTGCCAGAGATGGAGGAAAGATATAAAATTCGGCCTTTTCAACATGACGTTTGTTTTTTAAGTTTCCCTAATGCCCTCTCTAAGGTAAATCCCAGAGGCTATGTGTTTGGCTTACTCCTCAAAAGCAGATTTGAGTTGGTAAGCCACTGAAATGCATCAGAGGAAGGTTTGTTTTGAGAGAAGGGAACAGCTGTTCCTCCTGGAGTCGCTGGCAGACATGGAGCCCTATCCGTTACCCCTGTGTTCCTAGATGGTATTGCTTACAGCCCTTTTTGTGTTCTGTTTACTCTTCCAATTCTGTAGGTCAGCTTGAATGGATATTATATATATTTTTAGAGACACTTATAGCTAAGATTTTTGTTATCGATGACCTGTCTAAGTTCAAAAGTTTCTTTGACGTTTCATGGTTTTACTCCCAGTTTGTTTACTTCTGCAAATCAGCTCTTCTGGCAAGAAACTTGACTCCTCCAGATGATATTATCTTGGAGGAATGTAGGGCCAGGCTACAGGGTAGTTTTTCTGAGAATAAATGATCTGACCACACATAATAAACAAAGCCAGATAAGAAGCAGCCATTCAACATGAAAACAAAGAACAATAATTTAGATATATAGCTTTAAAATAGAAACACAGGAAAAGATACAAAATATGTTTTAAAATAATTATTTTCCATCTTAGTTTTGTTCTGTTCCCCTTATTTTAGCCTTAAACAGACAGTCCCCAAATTTTCAACCATGATTTCATTTTTAACATAATAAAATTTCACAGAATTGCACATAATAGTGGTTATACTTTTAGTAGAAGCTGACTGGAAAATACATAAGGACAAACACATTGCTATGAATTCAGTAATGCTTTTTGCCCAGGCTGGATGTGAATTCCTGGCCTCAAGTGATCTTCCCATCTCAGTCTCCGGAGTAGCAAGTAGTGGGGCCTACAGGTACACCCTACCTCATCTGGCTTCAATATTGCTTTTAATTAAAGGCATACTTTTTAAACAAAAGAGCATCTGTATTCATTTGAAGACTAGGGGTATACATCAGTGCAACCTACCTTATTCAGGTAAGCATACCTTATGGGACTTCAGGTCCCATTGCAATAATTTTAAAACTTGCAGGTGTCCATAGCGCATAGGTTGATATCTAAACTTTGCCTTTCGTCATTTATGCCTGTCAACTTTGGGATTTGTCCTATTTAATAATGTCATTGCTCTCCTGCCTGCACAGGCACTGCATATTCTTACCAGTTGGCTTTAACAATATGTAATATAATGGTCAGAGCTCTGTCTTTCTAAAAGGCAGAAGATTGGAATTTTGGATTGTTTTGTTGTTGTTATCTATTAATATATTTCTTTGAAGAACTCAACAACTTTGAGACTGTTTTGCCTTTTGCAAATTTAAAAATGGGGCTGGGGAAATACTTGCTCAGCCCAACTCATGGTTATTATGAGGAACATAGTAGATTATGTAGCACTTAATCATATAAACAATAAATCGTCCCCACTGAGTATTTTTGCAGAATCTTTCCATTTGGAAAGATTATCAGCTTTTGCAGCGCTATAAAGATACGGTTCACCCAGACTTACATTGGCCTGGGTGACTACCATGCTCTTCAAACACATAGTGGGTAGTAGATAGGAAGGGGGAAATCTGTGCATTGGACTGGGCTGGGAGTAATGAACTAGGTTTACGATTTATCTCCGCCATTTCAGTGAGTCATTTTCATCTCTCTGAGACTTAGTCCCTTGTGAATAGAGAAATGAATGAAAATCTCAGAGGTGTTCATATTTGCAATTAGGGCTTTTTTTTTTCTAAATGAAATTAAATTGCAAAACTCCAATATATAAATCAGATACCCAAAAAATGCAGTTTTCTCATGAGTTTAAAATGTTCATTGATTGCAAATGAAGCCCTAAGAACACAGTTTGAAAACCACTAATTTAGTTCATGTCTAAGATCCAGCTTTACATTAAGATGCCCATTTATTAAAGTGAGATATGTTTCTGCCCAAATATTGCTAGTTGTCATCTACATGGGACTTCTTGCCTTGATGGTCTTTTCCACTCAGGAAATCAAACTACAGAGCAGCACTTTAAGTGTAAAAAAAAATCAAAGAAAGCTCTATATTCTTAAGTAATAGTTCCCTCAAGCAATGGTGACCCAATTTAATGCCCTTCTTCATGTTAGTAATATTTTCCTCTAAAGAACTGGGCCAGGAAATCTAGAATCTGAGCACCATCCCCCATAGACTAGTATAGGAAGAAACATTCATAATTCTAAAATTTGTAGCCACTCTAGGACTGAGTCTGAATCTGAAGGATCCCTCTTTGTTCACTTGGTGCCTAACAGTAACTGACATATAGAGGACACTCAATAAGTCTTGAATGACTGACTGACTAAATGGATTGAGTGAATTCGTGGCAACTAATTAAGCAAGAAAAAACTGAATTACATGATTGGTTTTGAAAGCAGCCATTATTAAGTTTCTAATTAAGTTTGTCACCTAGCAAATCTAATCTATGCCTTCAGACCCCAACACCACCACTGTACTCTCAGGGTTCTCAGATATTTTGAGTTTCCAAACCATGCTGGGGTCATTTTCAGGGAGCAGACTGAACTGTCACACGGTAGCTGCCCTTCTTTTCTTTTCTTTTTTTTTTAACATAATCCCAAATGTGAAAATAAATTGTCCTTATTTTCAGCCACTGAAAGAATGTCGGGGAGCTAGATCTTGAGGCTGGTAGAGAATAGCAGTTAATGATGAGAAGCACAGACACTGACTACTGTGGCTCTAATACTGACCTTTCCATGTATTAGCTACCACTATGGGTAGCTATCTCTGTTTCTGTAAAATGGGGTATTAACTAATGAGAGGATTGAATGAGCTAATGCCCCTGAAGCTCTTAGAACAGAACCAGACATGTAAACATTCAATAGGTATTGACTTTCATTTATTCATCCTGAATGAAAATCTCAGAGCTGTTCACATTTTCTAATCAGGGCTTGCCTAACTCAAAACTTATGCTCTTTTGTTTAATAAAGTATGCTTTTAATTAAAATTTATAGTACAAAGAGCATACGTTTTGAATTAGGCAAGCCAGACTTTTAATTCAGACTCTGGTTCTTTTCTGGGGGGCAGTCATTTAATCTCACTAAACTTTTTTCATCGTGTGTTAAGTGCTATTTAAAATTATAGCAGACTATAGCTTTCTGATTTCCAGGACTCTTTAAGTTTAAGAAAACACTTGTGTAGGCCCACTTTGGATATGAAGGAGGAAGCTACAGCCAGAGAACTAAAATGCTTTTCATAATAAAACAATTTTGAGCATTCTGGAGTTTGAGATGAAAGCACCAACCCTAGGAAAGAGAGAAGTCCAGCAAAGTAGCCAGGAATCTGGGGCTCTATTTGGGGAAACAGTTTTAATATCCAATATTAAGTTGTTGCTTGGCACCAGAGTAGAACATTCCTTACTTTTTACCAAAAGTTAAATAGATGTTTCTTAACCAATCATATGTGGGTGATAACCTTGGGGAGTGAAGAAACTGGGGTGATGCATCAAGTATTGGGTAACGCCATATAGCAAAAGGGAACACACATACATAGGCAATGTAAAGGAGACATGGAGAATTGGCCTGTGTAGGAAAAGAGAATGTGAGGCAAGGAAGAGAAACCTGGAGATGTGGAGAGGAACAGCGGATTTCTCACCAGTGTGTGAGATGGCAATGAGGCATTTTTATTTTACACTAATCTTATAGGATAAGAAAGCTAGAGTCTGTTGAAGAACTTGAGTACCCTGGTATTTGAATTATAGGCTGGGCAGAATTCCTATGATAATTAAAGGTAATGGATGTGGCCCTGCACAATGGCTCATGCCTGTAATTCCAGAACTTTGGGAGGCCTAGGAGGGAGGATTGTTTGAGCCCAGGCATTCAAGACCGGTTAGGGCAACATGGCAAAAGCCCATCTCTATAAAAAATATAAAAATTAGCCAGATGTGGTGGCACATACCTGTAGTCCCAGTTACTCGGGATGCTGAAGGGGGAGAATCATCTGAGCCTGGGAAGTTGAGGCGGCAGTGGGCCAAGATTAAGCGACTGCACTTCAGCCTGTGCATAAGAGCAAAACCCTGTCTTAAAATAAAATAAAATAAAGTGAGTGGATATAAACTAGCACAAGTAACCATTTGATAAATGACAACTATCATATTGTTGATTCATGTATTATTCATAGAATATGTATCTAGCCCAAGGAAGCTGGGCAAACAACAGCTGGTACACATGGGGGCAGTGGAGCATACAGGTTCCCACTCATCTTACCCATGGCTGAAACTTACCTAATGTCCATCCTCTTACTCCCCACATCTCTACGTCCAGCATTTTTCTCCTGTCTGCACAAAGAAAACATACTCCTTGAAGAAACAAAATGGGTTTCCAGGAGTAGTGGGGCTATGTCTCTGGAGGAGCACAGGCAGGCTTGTGTGATGTGTAATGGTAAAGGATTTCTTCAAAGTCATAGTCCTGCCTTAGAGAATGCCTGGAGACTATAAGTTTTTAAATTATTTCATTAATTAACTCACTGAAGGTAAGAGTAACAAGCAGTGTCCTAAAAACATGCAGTTATTTTACCTGTAATCCATTTTCCAGTGACTACCAAGATAGCTGAAGCACAAAAATAGGGAATGACTTTGTTTTCCCAAGATATAGTCACTGTGATTATTTTTAGATGAACGGTCTCGAGCCAGAAGCACAACTCATAATTATGTTGCTATGATTCTGCAACCAGTTGTTCTGTGGAATTAATTCAACTGTGAAAACTTTAAAGTTACATTTTCTGAAAAAGCCAGAAAAACTGGAAGTAAAATATTCCATGACATGCAGTGCTGTTTCCTGAGATCATCTCCCATTGCTCCACTTTGTGACTTGCATGCCTCCTGCTTAGCCCCCCTTGCATTCCCAGCTCTTATCCAGCTCTTACCCTGCTCTGTGAATTATTGAAGTCCACTGACAGTCCCTCCTTTGTGAAGCATTCCTGAAAGCCCCAGCCTGGCAGATCTCCCCTTCCTCTGACCTCCTGTATTGATAGTGCATTGTCTTCACCTTTCTTAGAACTCCTCATCTTTTGCCAGTGAATTCTAATTTATTTTCATATATATATCTCACTATTTTCAAAGCTAGGTTCGTACCGTGTAATATAGTTGACTATTCATATCCAGGGGCCATGAATCCAACCAGTGGTTGATTACAACTATTTGGAAAAAGGCCAGGTGTGGTAGCTCTCACCTGTAATCTCAGGACTTTGGGAGGCTGAGGTGAAAGGGCTGCTTGAGCTCAGGAGTTTGAGACCAGTGTGGGCAACCAAGACCTCATCTCTACCAAAAAAAAAAAAATGCAAAAATTAGTCAGGCATAGTGGTGCATGCCTGTGATCTCAGCTACTTGGGAAGCTGAGGGAGGAGGATCACTTGACCCTAGAAGGTAGACACTCCAGCCCGGTGACAAAGCAAGATTCTGTCTAAAAAACAAAACAAAAGAAAAACCCCAAAAGAATAAAAAAATAATAGTACAACAATTTAAAAATTATAATATAACAACTATTTTCATAGCACTTACATTGTGTTAGGTATTGTAAGTAACCTGGAGATATATACTGGAAGATGTTACATTTTCCAGTATAACCTATTTGCATAGGTTATATGTGCCCCTCTACATAAGGGACTTGAGCATCCTCAATTTTTGGTATCTTTGGGAATACTGGAACCAACCCCTCTTGGGTACCAATGAACAACTGTAATTTTCCATTTCAAAAACAGTATGTCAAATTTATATCAAAAATCTGGAAGAGAAAAATGAAACAATGCATCTCATCATTTTGACACAAATTTTGTACTTATCACTTTAGGCTGTTTCTTTCTAAACCTTTTTCTATGATTATTATTTCATCGATTTAATTTTAGTGGATATGCAATTTTATATCCTTTTTTTCAATTAACGTTACATCATAATCATTACTGAAATTACTACATAGCCTTCATAAATATTTAAAGGCTGCAAAATATTAATTACTTTTCTATTGTTAAATTTTTAGATTATTATATTCCACTATTATAAACATTGCAGTTGACATTTTCATGCATATAATTTTTACAGTGTGTGTGTTTGTGTATGCACATGCACATTTTGATTTTTTTCCCTTAGGATAGTGTCCCAAAAGGAAACTTACTGAACCAAAGAGCAAGATTGTTTCTATGGCACATATTGCCAAGTTGCTTTCCTTAAGAGTTGGACCAATTTATATTATTAGAAGTGTATGAGAATATTGCTTTCTCCAAAGCATCACCAAAATTATGTTCTTAATTATTTATTCTTTAGATAAATGAAATAGGATGACCTTAATGCACTGCTTTGCATTATTTTAAGCATACAGAAAAGTATGCAGAAAAAATATATAACCCCTGGTCCTGGTTTATCAAATCTTAACAAATTTCCACACTTTTATTAGTTTGTTGTTGTTGTTTGTTTTTTTTTAGTTTTTGAGATGTAGTCTCGCTTTGTCACCCTGGCTGAAGTGCAGTGGCGCCATCTCAGCTCACTGCAACCTCTGCCTCCCAGATTCAAGTGATTCTCCTGCCTCAGCCTCCCGAGTAGCTAGGACTACAGGTGTGTGCCACGATACCTGGCTAACTTTTTGTATTTTTAGTAGAGACGGGGTTTCACCATGTCAGCCAGGATGGTCATGATCTTCTGACCTCATGATCCACCACCTTGGCCTCCCAAAGTGCAGTACTACATATACAACTGAAGTTGTTGTGCACAACTTTCCCAAATCCGTTCCAATGCCTTCCTCTCTCCCTCTATAGCGACAACTGGAATTTGATGTTTATCATTCCTTTACACTCCCATGTCCATATATTTTAATTGTTAAACCTTTAAATACTAATGAAGTCGAATTTTTTTAACATAATATAACTAATATTAAAGTGCTCAGATTCTAGAGTCAGGTGGAACTGTCTTTGAATTCCTGCTCTGTCACTAGTTAACCATGTCTCCAGAGGCCTCTCTATGACTCATTTGCCTCATCTATGAAATGGAGGTAATAATAATTCATACTATTTTTTTTTCTTTTGAGACAGGATTTCTCTCCTGTTGCCTAGGGTGCAGTGGTGCACTCTCGGCTCACTACAACCTCTGCCTCCTGGGCTCAAGCAATTCTCCTGCCTCAGCCTCCCTTGTAGCTGGGACTATAGGCATGTGTCACCACACCAAGCTAATTTAGGTATTTTTAGTAGAGATGGGGTTTCACCACATTGGCCAGGCTGGTCTCAAACTCCTGACCTCAAGTGATTCACCCACCTCGGCCTCCCAAAGTGCTGGGATTACATGTGTGAGCCACCACACATGGCTAATTCATACTACGCTTTATCATGTTGTTATGAAGATGAAATGGGAAGCTGCATGTGAAATTCTTGGCATAGTGCTCTAGTTTTTCTTGTGAATTATTTGCCCCTTTTCTTAGCAAGATTAGATTACCTAAAACTTGTGAAGCACCTTTACAACATGATCCTATTTATTCCTCACAACGGTTTTATGAGCAGGTACTGCAAGGATCCTATTTGATCCCAGTGATAAGCCAGCATGTTGCAACGCTGTGCTGAAACCTGAGTCTCTGGTTCTGGCACCTCTTGCTTTGAACTTATTTGCTGCAGCTCCATCAACTCTAAAGTCATTTCGTGATACAATGTCATTGATTTATGAGGTGGCTTTAGTACTATGCTTTAACACAGTCATTATAGACAGATCCTAGCATCTCTCTGACTTATAATTGTCTTCCTTCTCTATTTTTTCCCTGAATAGTCCACATAAAAATATTTTATAGCTCTATAAAACTAAATATCCTCTTAAACTCAACACATAACATTACCATTAATAACATATTATATTTTTACATTATGAGAGATTTAGTATTTTATAGGGATGGTATTACTTTTTTCTGATTTTTTTTTTTTTTTTTGGAAAACAAAGTAAAAATCTTAAGCAATTCCTGTATCCAGATTTCAATATATTAATGCATTAGTCCTAAACATTTTAACTAAAATAAACTCTTAAGGATTCTGGATATTTATTAATAGTTAACTAAAGTAGAATTAAAATTTTATTATTTATAAAATGTAATTTAAAAAAGAATAATAACAAACATTATTTAAATGTATTTAGAAACCAAATTTCACAAAACCTTATTTTTAAGTTGGTTTTTCAAGGCACAAGAAAAAATACTCTGGATATAACTTATAATCTACTCTTGTGTGCATTAATAGGACACATGTATAATTATCAGTTTTGTTTATACAAGTTTTAAACTACAAACATCTTAAGATGACATTCTTTGGTAATTATATTTTACTGTTTATCAATATTCCATTTTTCCTTTCAAAATTCTGACACCTCTCACATTGACATTCTCCTTATCATATTTGAGAAAAACCAGATTCAGAAAACTTAAGATGGAGTTAATTAGGTAATTCCAGACATTACATGGTCCCACGCATGGTGGAATGAGGATATCCTCAAAGGCACCTAGAGGAGCAGGGAGCATCTTAAGACTCAGGAAGCATATGCATTACGGACACATGATCATGCAAAGGATATTGATGGAAATAAGTATGAAGTACTTTGAAAAGACATTCAATATAGATCCTACATACCTAAATACAGTGTTTGTTTTGGTTTTATTCCAATGGGAGAGTTATCTGGCTCTTTTTTCCCCCAGAAATCACTGGGTTCAGGTATGGGTTACTACATATGGGTAGTAGGAATATGGGTTACTACAAATCTATGAAAGCCATTGCCTTATAAATGACGATACAGGCCCTTACCTGGCAATTTGCCAACTCCCCTAGCTTCTCACTGCAGTAGTTCTCTGTAGCTGGCCTTTTGCCAAGATCTGAGAAGATATCAAGGCATATGAGCTTCACTATAGCTCACTCTTGAGGTCTTTAGCTGATACCTTCTCCAGGGAGGCTGGCAGGCACTTTAGCAGAAAGCCACCTTGAAGCCTATAAAGTTTACCTTTTCACAGAGGTTATACTTGCAGGCAAATGCCCACATGTACCAAATCATTTTAAGGAAACCCATCATAACCCTCTGGATGAGAATGCAACAGAAAAACTATAGTGCCTGGTGCCAGTTCACATGTAGCAGGTAGGTACTTAAGGAATGATAGCTACATCTGCCACAAAAACATGGAGACACACTCTCATTTGCTGATTACAACGCATTTCATCTAAGACATTTTAAGCCATCTGTTCCAAAAGTTGGTATGTGGGAAGATGAAAGTTCTTTTTTAAAAAATTATGTGGTAACACCCAAAATCAAAACTAAAGCTAACGTGGCATTGCTCATTTATGCTCTAATTTTCTGGAAAACAGTTTCAAGCAAGTTAGGACGGCAGCAGGCCCAGGAGCTGAACAAATCCAGGGGCCAGCTTAGGGCAAACTGGGGTGGGATTAGATGTTCCAGTCTGCACTGTTCTTCTAAGCCTGTCATGATCTGAAACTTAGATCTTGGACCTGGGCCAGAACCAGACTGACCTTTAAGGTTGAGCAAAGAAGGCAACAGTATCCAAACAACCATGGTGATGAATTCTCTTGATACTGCCTTTTCTCTCTATTCTCCCCGAATGCTGATCAAATGCTTCCCAATCTACCACCTCCCTTAGTGTCACTACAACTACTGTCTTCTACTGAAATTGAATGCCTTTTTAAGATTATGAAAATAAATGCTAATTACTATGTCTTTTGGTCTCAATGGAAAACAGTTATCCTTCAGCTATCTTTCGTAGTATAAATAACTTGCCCAACTTTGCTAAGGCTTAAGTTTGCTCCATAACTTCATTAGAGGGTTATTGTAATGGAAAAAAGTGCCTAATTAATTAATATAAAGACTAATTATTATAAAGCTTTGTATAATGTCCTAATTAGAGAATATAGATTCATGATCTTTTCATCATTTCTTTTGTCATCATTCACAGCATATGTATTAGGAGTATAAGTTAATTTTCGATGCTTTGTTCATTGTAAGCACTTGTAATAATGCATGTATTTGATACTCAGGTGGCTCTTTGTGTTTTCATTTTAGTAATTGTTGATTCAAGGTGCATAGAACATTAAAAAACTAGTGTTAATTACTATAATGAAAGTATAGATTGGTTACTATGTTTTTAAAATCTTTTGAGTATTGCTTGTAAAAAAAAAGTCTGTAAGATTTTTTTCTGAGTTCACTTTTAGGTAGTACATTAAAAATAGATTCCCCCAAAACAATACTACAAAATATTTGGGATGTTTAAGAAATACCTTGTTTATGCCTCAAAGTAGAGGAAAAAAAGACAAATTTGAACTAATTTTAATTTAGTATACATATGTCCAAACATATGATTCCCTCTTTTTTTCTAAAGCACATTTTCAAAAGTGTGTTTGGGACAACCTGATATGTTACACTTTTGAAATATAAGCAAAATAGTTAAATGTCAACTTATAATATTTATTAATTTATTTATAACACTTATTAAATGTACTTATTTAAATATATTGCTTTTTTCACTTCTATATTTAATATATATTTATACTCATAATTTCATATTTATAGTATTCTATTTTAAAGTTATGTTTTTTCCCCAACTCCCCACCCCCACTGTCCCTCCCCTATTTTCCCCCAACAGACCCCAGTATGTGATGCTCCCCTCCCTGTGTCCATGTGTTCTCATTGTTCAACACCTGCCTATAAGTGAGAACATGTGGTGTTTGATTTTCTGTTTT